CCCACTTCCTCTCTTAGAACCATCAGATGCATCTACAAGTATCAAATATTGATTATTGTTTGTTATGTTTTGTCATCTATAGTAAGAATATAAGTATATTATACCAGAAGCTTTATTGTTTCCCGATAAAATTACTACAAATGTAACAAAAAAATGTGCTGTCAAATTTTACATCAAAGTTTAAAAAACATATCCTAGTCGATATATTCTTTCCATATTATGTGGATTGTCATGAGATAGTTGTTTAACCTCAACTATTACATTATTTTCTAATGCGATGTCAAGCAACCGAATATGAAAGAGATGTGGTTCAAGGTGGGATATAGCCCCAAATGATTTTGGTGCCCAAAGCTATGCTGGATATAACCACACTGTTCTATAAACACCGTAAAATAAAATAGGCCACCAAGGGGGAAAAATTCGAGGGGATATAGTTATAGATTAAGATTTGATATTGTGTATGATAATCGATGTTACTATGTAATGGAATGGAATTTTGTACTTCTCATTTTGTAATGGAATTGTAATTTTATGAATGTTCATTTCATGATTCATGTTCATGTAGTTGTTAAATCCGATTTTCAAAGGTTATGCCTATTGCATTTCATTAGTAATTTAGAATTTGTATATAGATCCTTCTTTTGAGGTCACATATAAAGTATTGTCTACAAGTTTCAGCTAAGTTTCTAATTCTCAAATTTTTGTGAAAACATAGTACTTATTATACTGTATAGAGGCCATTGCTTAATTCATTTAAGTCCTAGGTCATCTTTCGAAGTCACATGACAATATTTTTATGTCACATATACTTAGAGTGTGTTTGGTTGAGATTTTTGGGGGAAGAATTGATTTTTGAATAGTGATATGATGGGAAATATGTGGTTGAAAAAGAAGAAAAAAGTATTGATGTGATGGAAAATATTATTTTATTGAAAAATGTATAGTTGAAAATGAGAATTGATTTACTGTAGAAAATGAGAATTTGTACCAAACAGGCTCTTAATATGAAATCACTGATTATTATTGTCAATTTACATCTCATTTTGTTCTAACATAAGCTCATTTTCTGCTAGTCACTGGCCATTTTTATCAAATCATATATCACGTATTGTTTCCAGGTCAAAGCTTATATTTTTGCACTCACATGTCACAATTTTCAAGTCACAGGTCATCGGTTGAAATCACATGACATTGTGTATAGGTCACAGAATTATGTTTTGATGTCACAGACTTATTTTTTGAGAAGTAACATATCTCGTACTGTCTACACGTCACATATTATAAATTTATAATCACAGTTCATTATTCTCACGTCACACATCAAGTATTAATTAATGTATACTTTTTACATATTATTTCCAAATCAGAGTTCAAGTTATTGAACGAGTCACAACCAACAAAATATCGTGAATAGGTCACATTTCAAAACTATGAAGGCAAAAAAATATAGATTCATGTCTAGAATAAATTTTAGCCTTCACATATGATTTTTCATAGGTCACATTTGTCCAATATTAGGTCATAGATCCGTTCTCAAAGCTACAGATCACGTATCAGTGCTCACATTTGGTTGTACATTGATACCAAAGCACATCTTCATATTCACAAGTCACATATACAATTCCATAATTCACATTTTGTTAAATAGATAATAGTTAGCTAGTTTTAATTCATTTACTCATTTGCACAACTTACAGATAAACATCTCAAGTCACCTTTTGAGTTAATATTATTTATACTAATATTTTTTAATAGTTACATGATGTAACAAACACTGTCTACAACCAATAATTGAAACAACAGAGAAACATCGAAAATAAATGTTATAACTACGGATAATATGTATCATTGGTTGACATCGTATTATTGCGTTATAACTATGAATTATTTTGACTTAACGGAACCAAACTGTTGCACATCCTATGATTGTGACCAGTACCCATTTTAGTCAATTTTCAAAAAAAAAAAAAAGTTAGTTAGAAATACCAATGTAATTCTGGATTAAAGCAGGTCACAAATTCGCAATACATGCTACATAATGAAGTAATGCATGCAACACTACCTTTATAAAAAGGCCACGACATGAAATATACATGTCACAGTTTCATATTACAAGTCATGTGAATAAGACTATTGGTTACCATCATTTTATACAATATCTTAAATCAAATAGTTTATATGTAAGTCACAGTACAAATACAAAATCACATATATTGAATACATGTCACATAAAAATACACATTTCCAAAAATTCAACATCATGTGCAAATGATCGATTACATGAACTCTCACAATTACAAATACAATTAACATGTAATTTAAGTTACAAACATAAATTTCGGACATAAAGCATGGCATATCAAATTTGATTTTGATGATGATTCAATATCAATCACAATGACTATCGAAGATTCAACACCGACTGAGGTATTCTAAAATTGTAAAATGTTGAATTGAACGTTAAGTCATGTACCAATTGTGACTACGACAACGTTCAGATATAATATCAAATCAATTAGATAGTAATTCAATTAAGAAAAACTGTAATTTTATCCTCAACCATCAATAAATATCTATTTGTGATGATATTCTTCAATTTTTGACCTAAATCCTCTGACTATTATCAATTTCTGAGATATCGACAACTGTAGATTATAATTGGATACATTTAAGAGGATTATGTCTTCTGTTGCGTGAATAATTGTGTGGTTGATAGGAATATAAAATACACATTTTGCATCTTTATTTAATGGGCTCATATGATTATTTTCTGCCTAAATGTACTTAGTATTCTCATATTTTGGTTTAGGTGGCAAGTTGATGGATATAGCGTAATTTGGAAGAAATATGTGAAAATGGACCAAAGTGAAAGGAAATGAAAGTTCAAGGACTAGCGTGCAAATACACAAAAGTTGTGTCAAACCAAACAATGAAGATTTGAGAGTCAATTGCTTGAAAGAAGACGTCAAATGGATGAAATATCGTCAAAGTATGATCACACATCAATTTCCAATCGAAAAATTATACACTGATTTTCAGCCTCATATTGAGACCCATTTTCGACATGGAAAACGATCGAATTGGAAGATCATATCTGAATAAAATTTGTAGCCCTTTGAGTTATATTTCCAACGCATCTTGAATCGCGTCAATCGGATATCGAAAAAAGAAGATACGACCAAAACACTGAATACTGTTCGGAGGAAATTTCGTAAAACCATGCGACCGCAAGCCTTTAATTCCATGCGGTCGCATAGACCATTATCGAGAGTTTGAAAGCTGAGTTCATTTGTTCCTTGCGGTCGCAAGCCTCTAAACCATGCGGCCGCATGGTTCATTTCCGATACGAAAATTCTTGTTTCCTAATTTAAGTCAACTACCTGTGGAAACAACTATAAATTCATATTTTAAAACCCTAGAATGTAGCAGAACGCCTCCAACCTATTTTCTCTCTATTTTTCTTAGATCTATCATGTGTAACTAAACTTCTACGCTTGGTCGAAGGAAATTGAAGCCTCAGAACCATATATTGTGAAATTTAAATAGTTTTCTTATTGTTTGATTTATATTTTGCGTATTGAATGTTCTTCTGCATTTATTTCTATTATTTGTTGCATTTTATTGATAGAGGGCCCGCTAGTTTATTGATTGTAACAATATACCGCTAAGTTAAACATCAAATCCGTAATTGTTTGAACCCTTTAACTTGTGAAACACTAGGATTTGATAATTTTCTGCGATAGATGTTATTGAATCTTAAGAAAAATGTTTAAATAGATTGAATGCAACCGCTGGTATTTGTGTTATCTAGTTCATCGATTTCTCTATTGTGTAAAACTGTTATTAAATTGAATCTTGAGCGCTGGTTTGGGGTTATTTAATAATTATGGTTAATTAGAATACTGGTTTCTAATTAACTAAAATTAATGAAAAATAGGAATCAATTCCAACGATGAATATTCGAAATATGAATTGAATTATTCTTGTATCTATGATCAATTGTGGATTTTCGATGGTGGATGTAGACTTAGACCAAGGTTAGTCTTTTGATTGTTTTCGTTATTTTAATTGGTATTGTTATTAATTGAGTTATTTACAATTGTTTGAATACAAAATCCCCCCAATCATTGTACGAAGCATAAATATTGAATTACACACTTTTCGTGAGATCGACCATTACTTCCATTACTACATTAGTTTTAGAGGTTTAAGGACTATTTTTGGATGCCTACGATAGCACACCAGTGGTTTATGTACGTAAATATGTATTTTAGGGAATCTGGTGGAAACTGAATACTTGATTTTAGAGATTGAATTGTAATGGAATTGTCTCTCTCTCTATCTGACTCTCTCTGCAAACTTATTATTTTAAATCTGAAATGTAGTATAGTTAATGTCTAGGTTTATGAATTTTTCCCTAAAAAAAAATCTAAGCCAAATAAACAACTAGAAAGGCAGTTCGGTCCGGTCTAGACTCATCTCCACATCTATGATTTGGCCTCCAAAAAAAAAAAATTTACAGATGGAAGGAGTGACTACGCATGTTCAAACTACAGTATAAAAGACAATGGGAAACTCCAAGTCAACTACTCAACTAGGCTCCCTGATTTAGGGGAAAAGCCATTTGTACACCATGACATTACTTGAGTTGACAAGATTTGATATGTGCAAAAACATTTTATTTTTTTAAACTGCGTGACATATAAAAAATGTAGCTGATTTAGTGCAAAGAGTTGAAAATTAGCGGGCCATACTCTGCGGCAGCAATCAAGGATAGAAAGTTTTCTATATCAGCATTGGCACAGACCACAGAGTTTTCTCTTGGACTTTTGTGTAAAAGTCCACATTCCACACAACTCCAAAGGACTGCTGTCCCTTTTCATTTTTCTTCCCAACACAGTACTTTATAATTATTAATTTAGCTCTGTAATGTTAAAAACAGTTTTTGGGATTCTACTTTTCTTGACCATTCGAGTTTTTTATCTGAAAACTCTCAAGTTATGGGCGTAGTAAGTTTGCTTTCTAAATCTTGAATCTCTTTTCTGGGATTCTACATTTTCTGTACATAAATTAGTGTTAAAATGAACATAGCGTTTGATGGGTATTGCGTTGTGGTTTTCAGGAATATAGCTGGAAGAGTGGGCAGATTCCGGCATTTGGTGACTGGGATAAAGCTAATGAGCTTCCAATTACTCAGTATTTCGAGTGTGCGAGGCAGGCGGGGCTGATGCGCTGCAGCTGTTCGGCGGAATGCATTTCGTATGGTGGTTCTTCTTGGGACTGCGCCGCCACTGATCTTTACTCTGCTGAGTATGAGAAACCTCCGTTTCGGGCTGTTTATGGTGTTCCTCCACGAAAGGTCTTTCTACCCAATATATTTCCTGTCTAAAGCATATAAGATTCATAATTTTATCAAGATCTATAACCCCTTGTCACCACTTGTCAACTCCACTCTTTTTATCTTAAAAAAAAGGTAGAATAAAAATTCTCTTGAAGCTTATTTCTAAACATTGACTGTTTAAAATACTCTTTTAAATAGAGAATCATAATATTTCCTAATTAATGATGTCAACCTACTTCTTTACCTGAGCTCAGACCGTCTATGAAAGATGTAGTTGGAGTTTGTTGCTTAGAATTTAGTTTATGTAATATATTGTGTTGAATTTTTTGACACGCAATTATGGCATTCTTAGTTAAATTTACGACTCACTTTCATTCCCTGTGTACGAACGACTTTTCAGCAAGAATTATTCTGTTTCTAGTGTAAGTATTTGATGTATATTAGTAAGGAAATAATGTATTTTAAATACTGATATGATGAGAAATACGTGGTTAAAATGTAAGGAAAAATTATTAATGTGATGAAAAATATTATTTTATTGAAAAATGCGTGGTTGAAAATGAGTTTTGAAAGAATATATGTTAAACGGCTGCTTTTGTGGTTTAACATTCCGATTCCCGAGGTAAATGTATAGATAAGAAAAAAAATGTGTCATTTTGTGAACCCCTGTACGAGCTGAATGTAAAACAATCGAATCTTCAATGTATTCCTGAAAGTTGGTGCCAAAGACTAAAGATGCATAACATTGCAGAATAGGGGAAATACCAAGCGCTATGCAGATGTCACTGAAAAGAGAAAGCAAGTTAAGGCACGGGAGGCAATGGAGCAGCAGAGAAGTCAGACTTTGTCTCAGAAGCATATTACCAAGTCTGCAGAATTTATCCATCGACAATCCATAATTACTTCTGCAAAACCAGTGGACGAAGATCTTTACAAAATCCCTCCTCATCTCCTTCGGAAGACCAAGCGCGTAAGTCATATCTATTTTGTTCTTATCCCTACTTTAAAATTTTTTAACCGTAAAAGTGAATTATATAAACAGATACAAAATCAATGATCACATCCTCATATACTTATGTGCCTATTTGCTTGAATACAGAAGAAAATGTTGGGATTCTTTTCCCGGTGCATTGCTCCCCCTTGTGCAACATGAGTTCGACTGCAAGTAATCGTATTGAACAATCTGGAGTCAGACTCGATTAGATAGAATGGATAGTCATTTTTGTATATTTGCAAATCTTATGGATGCATTCAGTACGAATAGCAGGATAGGGACCTTGATCAAGAAAAAAAAAAAGAACTATTGGCATCTTACTGAATTTAATTTATCTTGGTATCAACTGCACTTAGTTTAGGTAGACTAGTCTTATATTTCCATCGGTCGAGTTGCCTTGTTGAATATATTTACGAATTGACCAAGCTCACTCGAACGTTACTATAATTTAAAATTTTCATTGAACCGTAGACGACAAATTCTGTGAGAATCTAAATGACCTTCATAGAAGCATGGGCGGACCCGCAAAAGGTAAAAAACAACAATAACATTATATTAAAAATGAAATACCTTCAAATTGTTCTTTATGAGTTTTTATATTTTGATATCTTTGTACAATTATTTCATTATCAATCTGTAAGAATATATCTTTTTCCACATACAATGAAACAACTTCCACGAAATACTGATTTTCTTCATCTTGTAGCTCTTCGAATTTTCTTTGGTGAAAATTGAGGTTTTCACTTTTCAGGTTTGGCCATTTGGATGGGGTAAATCATGGGAAAGGGTTTGTAGTTAATAAGACTATCTTATAAGATTGGGCCCATTATTTGGCCCATTTCAATTTATTTATTTATTTTTAACTTGGGTACTTACAAAAATACCCTTAAAATTAGGAATGTTTTGAAAAATCATCTGAAAGTTTTTTGAGGAAGTAAAAAATACTGTGTAAAATGAAAAAAGTGACGCAATGTCACTTTTTTAAAAAAAATTGTCACTTTTTTACCTTTTTAAAAAAAGTGACACAAACTCAAAAAATGTGACAAAACTAAAAAAAAAGTGACTCGAAAAGTGAGACAAACTCAAAAAAGTGACAAATAACAAAAAAAGTGACAAATAAAAAAGTGATAAATACTAAAAAAGTAATATGAATTAAAAAAAAATGACAAACATTCAAAAAAGTGACAAAAAATTAAAAAAACTGCAAACATTTGAAAAGGTGACAAAACACATAATTTGTTATAGAAATAAACACATAATGACAAGAAACCTATTGGACTTGAACTAGGGGCCTCATCGCACCTATTTGTTATAGAAACCTATGTTGTCTCTCAAAAAAGTTACAGAAATTAGAAAAAAAGTANAGCAAGAGTATGATTTCAACTGATGCAAAAAAATCTTGATTGTAGCATTACAGAACAAACACAAACCTAAACTTGCAATTGAATTGTACATATATTGCTAAATTGAATTCTAAAACACAGCATGTATTAATCTACATGTATAGCTGGAAGACATATTTTTGTCTAGAACTCAAAATTGAATAGAAAGTTCATATTCCATGAAATATGGTAATAGTTTGTATCGACTGCAAAAGAAATTCTGGTTGTCAATTGGGCCACATGTCAAAGACTCATCTCATAGACACCTAATTATTATTTTGCCCTGCAAAACTTGTCTCCGACATCGAATTCAGGCGAAAGGAAAATAGTGAATGAGCCACCGTCTTCTTGTTGCATTATTTCATATAGGGTTTTGGCCAAAAGAAGATTTTGATTAGTTGATAGGGTTGGGAAGGGGTTGAAACCTGGTGCTGCGACTCGATTGCAGACCTGAGTTGGCCGACGATGGTTTGCGGGTTGTCAATAATGACCCACTCCAACATTCCTGGCTTCAAATTCTAATCATCATCTTCGCTAACCTATAATATACTTTCAATTAATCAAATCCCTCAACATAAATTTCTGGGTTTTCAGCTGAATTATAAGTACATATAGGTCTGTGTTTATTATACGTGCACGTGGAGTAGAGAATAGGGAGAATCTCTTGTGCAGGGCAACAAGAAGAAGAAAATAACTAATTTAAATTTATATTTTATAATAAATGTGAAAATGCAGTATTTTATACTTGAATAATTACTTTTCACATGATTTTGCAAAAGCATCTTATATTTAGGGTATATAGTCTAATTTTCCCTTTTTTGGCATCAGAACCCAACATACTTTGGTGGTCACCTACATGGCCCTTCTAAGCTCTCATACAATAGTTAGCTACTCAATTCTCCTTTTTTTTTTTGGTCGCACTAAGTCAGCATCAAATGATTGACGGCACTTTGGCGTGCTTTAGGCGACACAACTAGGGATGGCAACTGGTCGACGAGGGGATAGGGGGCCCCTGCCCCGTTACCCATTTTAATCATTCGACTTGAAAACTACAAAGAAGTCTAACCTGACCAGATGCCAATTGATAACAAGATCTTTCCAGAAATTGGACGCCTAAATTCTAGAGGAGGAGGAGCTGTAGAGACGCAAAAATTATCATGTCCCAACTGTTCTTGTGGTTTCATTACAGCCTTTATCTTCAAATCCTTAGTATCAATACTAAGAAAATACTATTTTACGACCAAGGAAAATCGTTCACTTCGACCAAGGAATATAAATAGTGACATATTTAGTCCTGTTTGACAACTGTTAAAAATAGTTTATTTTGAAGAATGCACGGTTAAAAAGTAAAAAAAAATTTAAGTTTTATTAGCATGTATGGTTGAAAATGAGTTTGAGAAAAAAAAGAATTTTATTTTAACGGTTGTCAATCAGGGACTTAGTTTCACCAAGTAAACACCCTTTCCCATATAATCGTAATTGATTAGAGACACTCAAAGTCATTTGCGCAATTAAATAATAAAGTCTATCATACATTTGAATTTAATAA